GCAACCAAGAAGATCCTAACCCTTAAAAAAAAAGTAGACCGTAACAATTTTACGCGCGATCCTCTCCCTGTACAGTTGGGCCTGTAAAAAATGAGAAGCAAAAACGAGACTAAGCGTTCTAAAGAATCGTCATCAGGTATGTTTCTACGTTCCGACGAGAAAGTCTCTCTCTCTCTCTCTCTCTCTCTCTCTCTCTAGATAGATGAAAATTGCTAGAAACAAATGGAGGACCAACCTTGGAAGTTGGAGGTGCAAAATGAGAAGTGAGGTTCACCTGGGTAATTCAATCCAAGCGGAATGACCATAACAACCCTCAAAAGAGAGTCAACGTGAGTCAAATGGACGGATTAATGGATGAAATGTGGGAATTTTGATGATGGGGGAACATGATAATAAAATTTAATTCGAGCCCCTAATTTACTATTTAAAAAAAGAAGATCAAGGGGTAAATTGATAGTTGTGTACAAGTTCGGGAGGTAATTCGACAATTTACCCTATAATAATTACATGAGCCGAATAAGATGGTATAAGAGCAAGTCCAGCAGCTAAGGCTGGACTCGGGCTGGGGGGGGTTAGGGCCAAAAAATCGATTCCAACAACAAAGGCTGGCTCGAGGGCGAGGTGGGGGCCACAAAGAAGGGCTGGCCCGAGAGCAGGTTCAGCCTAAGATCCAAAACAAGGGGCTGACGTCAGCAGCAAAATTTTTTTTAAAAAAATCGAAAAAAATTGAAAAAATATATATATATATTCAGATTTTTTTTTAATAAATACTTAGTCATATTTTTCACTTTCCACACCAAAAATCTTAAAAAAAAATATTGTCCAAATTAATTGTTTAGGTAAACAAATATGTGAAAAAAAAGAAAAAAGAATAGTGTTTCCCCTTTGCCATGGCAATTGCTGGAAACACACATTTCTTTTTGCAAGGACAGCTACTATTTATGTGAATAGTTGCTGCTCTAGCATGACAAGGGCAACTACTGGAAATGCTCTAAGAAGCAACATGACAAAATGACCAAAAGTGACTTTTTACGAATTTTTTTTTTTGTCTTTTTAACTGTCAATTGGTTCGGTCAGACTGACTGTCTGGAACCGTGAACAGGGCCGATCTAGGCCGGTGCGGTCGGTTCTTCAGTTTAGCGGGTAGATTTCCCAGCCCTACTTGTTGCTTACCGCGCCAAATCACACTATTCCTTCTTCATTCACGAACACCGACTGCAACCAAGAAGATCCTAACCCTTAAAAAAAAAGTAGACCGTAACAATTTTACGCGCGATCCTCTCCCTGTACAGTTGGGCCTGTAAAAAATGAGAAGCAAAAACGAGACTAAGCGTTCTAAAGAATCGTCATCAGGTATGTTTCTACGTTCCGACGAGAAAGTCGTTTTGCGTTTTCTTGTTTGGTTCTGTTTGGTTTTTTGTCTGGTTATCATTTACTTGAATTTGGGTTTTAATTGTGTTGTGGCATTCTTGAACTTGTAAATATTTCCCTTTTTTTGGAAAAAAAAATGTTTTAGTTAACGAACGAAGAAACGGTTAGATTAAAATGGTTGTGTGAGTGTTCTTGATTTGAAGAGTGTATTGAGTTCTGCGGGTTGATTTCGTTTTGTAGTGCAATTTGGTATTTAAGTTTTCATAAATATTCCTGTTTGTTTGGTTGCTGAGAACTTGTGGGAAAAAGAGAAAGTGAAATTGCAAATTTTTATTTATCTTGTTGAGGTGGAATTGGATTAAACATTAGTGTCCACTTCACCAGATGCAGCAGCAGTTCTTGGCTTAGTTTAGTTGAGTGTTTTTATTTGGAACAAATAGCAGAAGCCACTTGGAGTAATTTAATGGAAATCCCCAGTTGTGTGGAACCAAAGCTATTGTTGGTTTGAACTGTGCTTTGCTTAGGGAGTCTTAAAAAGTTGTGTATTGAAGTTAATACTTAATCTTGATTTCAGGAACTCTTGCCGACGTATCACTGGAGGCTGTGGGCAAACTTCTGAGGCGTTGCAATAAAACTGGGAGAAAAAAATTTGAGAATAGTGTGCATCAATGTGATTCAATTGGAAAGGTTTGCCCGTTTATTTTTGTTATGAGCACACACGTATGTGAAAATTAATTTTTTGACATTTGGAGGCTTTGTCTTATGTTGGTTGTATTTCAGCCAGAGTGTGGGGGAAAAAGAGATGAAGAAGATTTGGATTCAAGAGTCAGAGGGAATACTTTGGAAACTGCGGGTGGTAGTAAAGATGCAAAGAGAAAGGTCTCTTGGGAAGAGAAAGTTGATCGGGAAAGCTTTCAGTGCAGTTTTACAGACACTAGGGAAGAACTGGATGACTCAGATTGGGAAGATGGCCCAGTTCCCATTTTAAATTCCATGGGCGATCATGAAGTGACTATTGAATTAAATGAGACACCAGATTCTACAAGAAGGAAACGTATTCGTCGGGCTTCTGCTGAAGATAAGGTGAATTACAGATTTTCATGTGGAATTTGATGTGGCATTTTGTTTCATTATACCTTCCTTTTGTCATGACTCAATGCCAAAAGGGTTTGAACTTCTCTGGTTTTCTTGCAGGAATTGGCTGAGCTTGTTCATAAGGTTCATTTACTTTGTTTACTTGCACGGGGAAGATTGATTGATAGAGCTTGTGATGACGCTCTTATTCAGGTAGGTTGGTTTTGGTAAATAATGATCTTAATATTTGCTACATGAACTTACATGTTGAATTTATCAAAGAAAATAAAAGATACCACTAACATTAAATGTATAGCTTGTGACGATGCTCTTCTGCAGGTCGTTGTTTCTTGTATATTATGATAATTGTTGGCATTGTCATCCTGATAATCCGAGCATCTCAAAAGTCCATTGTTACTTGTATTATTGTTTTTCATTTTACCATAACATAACAGTGATAACACTAATTACAAAAATTGGGCCTTGTTTGAGGTCTTCTATTCTTAAAAGCTACCTATGTGGCAGGCTACTTTACTTTCTCTTCTTCCAGTGCACTTGCTGCATATATCAAAGGTTGCAAAACCTACTGTAAAGGATTTGCGTCCCCTAGTCTTTTGGGTATGGCTTTAATTTTACTTTATTTTCTTGCATTATGCATCCTGACTTTGTTTGTAGATTAATGGAATACAACTGTTCTATCTTGTTTGATTCGTTCACATCTAATTCGCAGTTTCAAAATAACTTCTGTGTTAGAAGTACAAGTGTGAGCAGATCATTTTGTTCGGCTCTGACTTTTGCTCTTGAAACCCGTGAAGGGACTCAAGAAGAGGTCAGTTTTTTCTAATATCATTTCACAAGGGTTTTTAAATTTGACTGAATTTCTTTGGATTCAATTATCTTTTGTAGACCTAGTCACTAGTTGTAAACTGGTACCTATGAACTATTGGAGTCTGATAAAAAAGTTAGTCTACATTTTTGAGTGATATTCTTTTATTATAATGGTTGCATTGTTTTCTGTAAGTTAATTAGTGCTCTAAGAATATCATTTTTGTTGCAGATTGCTGCGTTGTCTGTGGCACTCTTTAGAGCTTTAAATCTGACAACCCGGTATGATATCTGTTATGACAAAACTGAGAATATTGTGTTGTCCTTGCTGATAACCAGTGCTTTTGAATATAATTATCTTTTGTCTAAATTTTCAATGTGGTGACTTTTCTGGAGTGAAAAGAGAGAAAAAATCATTCTTATTGAAGACTTTCTCCTTAAGGCTTCTTGCTTGCTTCTTCAGCTTCTCCTCATTGAAAATTGGACTACAAAAAGTCCCCTAAGATTTCTAAGAATATTGCTGTCTGTTCTATTGTTTTTTGAAATGAGGATGACCTTCTTTAAAAATGTCAAGTCAGTATAACTTACATTTCTAGAAGCTGATATCTTTAGTGAAGCAGAATATCCTTGTACCCATCATTCCATTATAACATTTGATAATTTGTTATAGAAAATTTCAATTTTGCTTTCCATATCTGATTTGTCACATAGAAGATCGCCTGGAGCAATCACTTAGAGTGCTATTGATTTCCTAGGAACTTTGTAGGAAGGCATAATTTGAGCTTTAGAGAGTATTCTTGCACGCTGGAATTTTGAAGTGAGGATATTGATGATCTAAGAAGTATAAAAATCTTAGCCTCTTTTAAATATTTGGTTGATGACTTGATAGCACTAGATTTGCTCATACAAAATATCAATTCTATATTTTTCACTCTTGTCTGTTGGTTGCTTGGCAGGTTCGTGTCCATTTTGGATGTTGCCTCCTTAAAACCAGATGCTGACAAGACTGAATATTCTAGTGAAGATGCAAGAAGATCAAGTAGGGGAATATTCAGTACTTCAACTCCAATGGTGGCTAGAAAACAGGATGTCTCTGTGTCTCTTGGTAAATCACCTTCATGTAATGAGAGAGACAATGTCTGTGGAACTTCTCAGATGGGTTCATGCAGAAGTAAGGACTGCCACCCAACAAGTAACAACACTCAGCCCAAAGGTTCTTGTAATGCTTATGAGGTGAATGATAGAATGCTAGATACATTAGCTTGTGAGGCACATGATGATATCTCTGAAGCAGTCCTTAATAAGAAATCACAGGGATTAAAGAGGAGAGGGGATCTTGAGTTTGAAATGCAGTTGAAAATGGCACTTTCTGCTACAGCAGCGCCAACTGCAGATAGCGAAATGGGTTCAGGTGTGAAATACTTGAATGGTAATGAAAATTTCTCTTACTCAAAAAGAATGAAAAGAATTGTTAGCGAAGAATCACAAAACTCGTCCCAGAGTATCTCTACTGCAGTTGGATCGAGAAAAGTAGGTTCTCCTTTGTATTGGGCAGAAGTATACTGCAAGGGGGAAAACTTGACTGGAAAGTGGGTGCATATTGATGCTATTAGTGCAATTATTGATGGAGAGCAGAAGGTTGAAGCTCTAGCTGCAGCATGCAAAACATCTTTGCGATATGCTGTTGCTTTTGCTGGGAATGGGGCTAAAGATGTGACTCGCAGGTTATTTCATTGTCTTTGATTTTATCTATATTCACCATTACTATTATGCTATGCAGTTACTTTAATCTAATTGTTGCGTACTTTTTTACACACTATCAACTTCCTACAAGCTTTGTGCTGCAAAAAGTGTGAGTCCATACCATGGGTTGCATGTTGTTTAAATTCGTTGTTCCTGAGCTGGGACCGATTCCAGATGCCATGGTAGTGCTTAGACATGCTTCAAGTTTCTTGATGCAATTCAGAATGCATAAATGGACTAAATTAAAGGCCTGGTATGGATATTTTGAGTTCATATGTAAAAAATCTTCCTTTTCTTCTTCTTTTAAACATCTGATCATCTGTTGTGCACATCTGCACTATAGGATGTGAACCCATGCTATTCACTCGGTAATGGTTGCAAAAAGAAAAGGCTCCTGGGGTATTATGATGTATCACTGAAAAAAAAAGTGACCAAGGGTACTTGATTTCTTTTTGTCATTTGTTTACTAAACATGATTTGTATTTGACATCATAAATCACCAGAACCAATGGTCATCATGTTGTATTATTTTTCTGGCTTTCTTTCTTCTCTATGTCTCTCTCTGTCTCCTTCTCTCCTTGAGTGTGTGTGTGTGTGTATGGCCTGCTCAGACACCAACACAACAACATAGACGGGAGAAAATTCTGAGGGGGCAACATTCTTCAATGTATGGGTATCTGATGCTTTCCTCATTGATTGATCAATTGTCAATTCAACCCATTTAAAGTAAATCTACAAGCAGTACAGACTGTTCTTATTGTGTGTTAGATTGGGAAATTCCTCAGGGTTACATCAAGAAGCTTCGAGATGTGTTGGATTGCCTCAAGGTTTGAAGATCTATTCATTGATTTGAATACTTTCTTATGCTCGTGTAGTCACAGGTTAAACCATTTTAACTCTTGAACTCCAGTTGACTCTTTCTCTGTGGAGTTGGCCACACCCTATGGGGTTTTGCGCACATCTTGCAGAGTGTACTGCGCCTTTTTTTTAAATGAATTCCAAACAGTGATTTTGTCTTTTTGTGTTGGAGCTGGCATTTTTATTAAACGGTTCAGTTGATCATCTGCTTATTAACTTCATTCCTGCGAGATTTGAGAGAGAATTCCTCAGAGATTGAAACTCTTTTCCTTCTCCCCTTGGTTGCGTTCTCTCCACAGAGAGGAAGACCTAGAACAGTTCTCTAATGTTTTCTCTACCATTGTGCAACATCACCACCATGACTTTGTTTGTAAATCTTCTCCAGTGACAATCACCACATGACTCACTTAAAGAAGTGCTTAGATTGTTCATAGTGTTTGGTTGATTGTGATGTGAATTTCTGCTGTGAAGTCCCAAAGATTTCAGTTGAAATTTCTGTATATTTGTAATGTGTAAGGTTTTATGGGTTACCATAATCCCTATTTAAATTTTAATGGATTTATGCAGTACCAGGAAACTAAGGGTGGATGTAAGCAACAGGCCGAACCGCCTAAAGTTGCTCTTTTTCTTTGTTGTGCATGCTGAATCGTGTTATTTTCTAGTTCTAAGGCTTGTTTAACAGTGCTTACTATTATGAAATTTAGTATACTTTACGTGCATTAGTTTTGATTTAACCTGTGCTTTTCATGCTCCTGTTTTTGTGCATTTTATCTGGAGTTTTGAACATGGTTTTGCAGAGTTTGAAACGGGGTTGACTGACTGGAATCCCAGTCAGGTCCGTCACATTTCCAGCCAACTTTTAATTCACAATTTCTAAATAATTATATTTTGATCCTGGTTTCTATTGGATTTTTACCCACATTTTTTCCGATCAAAATCATATCCTGTAGGAGGCCCTTTATTTGTTAAATAGTGTAGATCATTACAAATGCCCACCTGTCGTAGTGATAATCGGGGTTGAAGCTGTGTCTGACAGGAGTTTATAATAGTGTAGGTCATTAGTAAATGCTCACCAATCGTTGTTATTGTTGGTGTTGTTATTGTTGTTATTATTATTGTTATTGTTGCTGTTGCTGTTATTATTGGTCTTACTACTTTCAATCATCCTCAATACCAACTTGGTCACCCTGCAGGTACTGTCTGAAGTGGTATCAGATAGCATCCCAACGAGTCAATTCAATATGGTGGGATGCGGTATTGGCACCATTGAGAGATTTCGAGGTGACAGCAACAAGCGACAGCGTCCATTTGGAGAAAGAACACACTGGATCCTCATCAGGACATGAACAAGCTAAATCCTTAAACATCTCTGACAGAGCAGTGATTGCTACCAGAAACTCTCTCGAGGATATGGAGTTGGAAACTAAGGCATTAACTGAGCCTCTTCCAACTAATCAGCAGGTATAGTGAATTGATATTGTTATATTACAAGATGTAAGTTGCGTAGCTGCATGTTTTTTCATTGCTTGATCATTTGAACTTCCATACACAGGCCTATAAAAACCATCAACTATATGCCATTGAAAAATGGCTTACCAAAGATCAGGTACTTCATCCGAAGGGCCCCATTGTGGGTTTTTGTTCGGGTCATCCAGTTTACCCTAGGACATGTGTGCAAACACTAAGGACAAGAGAAAGATGGCTACGGGAGGGGCTGCAAGTTAAAATCAATGAGCATCCTGTGAAGGTCTGGTTTGGTTGATAGTATTTGGAGTACTTCTTTGATGCATTAACTCTATTCGGTTTATTGCTGTTCATTGTTGTTTACATATTTGCTTCCCTCCCCTCCCATTTCGTTTCTTCAGGAGTTGAAACGTTCTTCAAAAGTCCACAAAGTACAGGACCCTGAATCTGATAATTTTGTTGGGGGTAATTCAAAACGAACTATCGAACTTTATGGCAAGTGGCAACTCGAACCCTTGGATCTGCCTCATGCTGTTAATGGGATAGTGCCAAAGGTGAATTGCTTCTAAAGTTTCCGTGGATGTTCATTCATATTGGAAGTGTTATGAATAAAGCATCATTTTCTTCTTCTGTTTCTATTTTCAATTTTTTTTCCCACACTGCAAGCTAGTACTGCACTTTTCCTTCCATCTGACAAAATTGTATTTATGCACAGGTTATATTTTCAGCATTCTAGTGAGGTTAAAAATGCTGTTATTTAATCTATGTCTCTCTCTCTCTCTCTCTCTCTCTCTCTCTCTCTCTCTCTCTCTCTCCCCTCGTTTTTAAACATTTGCTCGAGAATGAATAATAGTAATAGCTACTTCAGTAATAGTCAGTTTGGTTGTTCTTCAGTTCTAAATGGAGCTTCTTGTTACTGACAAATTCCATTTTTGATGCATAGAATGATCATGGTAATGTGGAAGTATGGTCTGAGAAGTGCCTTCCGCCAGGGACTGTGCACTTGAGATTGCCAAGGGTGTTTTATGTTGCCAAGAGGCTGGAAATTGATTATGCTCCAGCCATGGTTGGTTTCGAATTCAAAAATGGTCAGTCATATCCTGTCTTTGATGGTATAGTAGTATGTGCTGAGTTCAGGGATGCAATAGTGGAGGTAAACTACATAGCTACCTTGATAAATTTGTATTTTTCTTGTGATTCAGTTTTATTTGGTGCCTTTCATTATTCAAAGCCCCTGAATCGTACCTCAAATCTTCCCAATGGGAAGGTGTTTTATTTTGTTTACTCTGAAGATGAATTGCCATTTGTCCATCAAAGTTGTTTGCGAATTTTCCAAAATTTTGTCCGTTTTCTTGATTCAATTGTCAGCACATTTCACCTAGAGATCTTGACCGAGTGTTTGGGCCACTTGTTCTTTAGGCATATGCAGAGGAAGAGGAAAGAAGAGAGGCTGTAGAAAAGAAAAGAAATGAAATGCAGGCAATTTCGCGGTGGTATCAGCTTCTCTCTTCCATTGTAACTCGTCAAAGGTTAGAAAACCTCTATGGGGATTCCTCCTCATCTGTGGCATCAGTTAGCACCAAAAGTGTGAACAGTAAGTTAGATGTACAGGTTGGTGGTAGTCTGAATGATGAGCAATCTCTTGCATGCCAACAAGCTGTGCATGAAAATAGGCCGGCTGGTCCACCAGCTGCCATGCCGGAAAACCATGAGCATGTATTCTTGACAGAAAATCAGAGTTTTGATGACAACTTGGTGGTGACAAAGAGGTGTCATTGTGGGTTCACGGTGCAAGTGGAAGAACTGTAGTATTTCCACATAAACAATATTCTTTGTTGAATTAAAATTATGATGCTGCTTGTCATTTAAGGACGTGGGCTGAGCTCAGAATGAAGAACGAACTTCCATGTGTTTTTGACGTTTTAAGTGCATTCTGACATTAGTCATGGTGAGTTTGATGAAATGTAAATGCAATAGGATAGTGATGTGTAGAAAATTTGAGGCTATCCTCATGTTTATAGTTCAATTTTCTGTCTCACTTAACTTTTGTTTTTATTGCATTTTGGGTAATCGGAGTTAAAACAAAGGTTTACTAAGGGAGATGGATGTTTTATTACTTCTCGATTGTATTCTTTTAGCATTTTCTTAGGACATCGGATCATTAATTTATACAAGGCACCCATAATTTCATAAATAAATCAAACTTTTGGTAGATTTTTGGTTGAAGGAATATTCAGTTTACAACTCAATCCAAGTGGGTGAATGGCTGAGTTCTGAAGTACCAGCAATGGAGCAATCACAATGCACAACCAATGCCCAATGGTCCTTGGGAGTTATGAACATTAAAAGTAGGATATCCATGATGAAACCTTAAATTTATTTAATTCCAACTGAATTTGAACCCCACAGCAGAACAATTTGAACAAAAATCCTTCATCAATTGCACACCACATTCAACGCAAAATATGGAGGGTTCCACGGTCCACCTTTAAGCCCCCACATGAAGTCACCATGGGACAAAAAGGCCTTCAAGAAAGAGACACACCAACAGATAAAGACTAATAAAGGCCCCATAAATATTAAATATAGAGCAACCACTTTGCACAAAGTAACGGCCTTGTAAAAGAAAACAGTTTTATTTTGTGTAAGAGACCTGTCGTTCAAGTAGTTAAAACGTAAAAGCATTTATTTTTGCACCGGGATTCTAACTTCTGATACCCCCTTCCCCACAATATCACTTGTATAAAAAAGAAAAAGAAAAAGATGCTCTGTTTGGTAAAAGATACTGAACAAACGACACTGAACTCAACTATATTAAACTACTCATTGCCAACATAATCATTAAACATCCTCCTAAAAATACCCAACTTTCAAATAAACCTCGAATAACCCAAATTAGCCTTTAGAAAGCACAGCCAAACATCCTCCTAAAAATACCCAACTTTCAAATAAACCTCGAATAACCCAAATTAGCCTTTAGAAAGCACAGCCAAGCAACATGAAATTATGACCCCCCAAAAAAAAAAGCTGAAATTTTGGCACAAGAATTATAAGATCACAACAACAATGAAATGAAATCCCCAATCATATAATTAGTAGCAGTCATGTCATACCCCCTCCAAAAACTAGAAAAACCAACAGAGCCTCAAGCAACTGCATTACATTGTACAGGCTAGCGGTTAAGACATGACACAGCTAAACTAACAACACAACATCCAATTCTACAAAACACAGGGGGAGAGACACTAAAAGTGGTAATAAAAATCTATTGCTCAACACTAACTTCAGCACTCAATGAATCCTTAACCTTTGGAGGCCTACCCCTTGGCCTCCCGGGCATTGTATCTGTCACCGTGGCCGAGCCACTTAAGCCTCCGGTAGGCTTAGCCATCTTCCTTGGCCGCCCTCTTGGCTTCCCACTCCCTGAAGACACCTTAACCTTGGGAGGCTTTGGGGGCGCATTGGGGTCCTTAGGAGGGCGGCCCCTAGGCCTTGTTGGACCCAACACAGCGTCTGGTGGCAGTGAATCCTTGGGTTTTGGTGGCCTTCCACGCCCCCGCCTCGGGGGTGCATTAGGATCCGGCTTGGTGTAGTTGTTTTTCCAGAATACCAGCTCCCCACTATCTTTCATTTTGTTCAGGTGGTGAGAGAGAAGTGAATTGTGGCCGGCTGGCAAATCCCCATACGTTGATTCAATGAACTTTGATATTGAGGATTTGTTCGAGCCATTCTTTTCATTCAATGCTTCAATGGCCTTCAGAATCATCTGAAATACCACAACTGACACATTTTACAACAACAAAAACAAAACGAAAAATCCTTTTTCTTTGTATTGAGAAAATGCTCTTTGGATGAACTTAATGCCCAGAAATAGAAGGCTTTTCAGTCAGCATAATGCAGTTCAAGGGAAAAAAAAAAAAAAACATTGAATTTTTTTTCGGTCCTGGTATACCAAATGATTGAACAGTGTAGCAGAACCCAAATCTATGAAACAATGTGAAATTTTAGGAAAATCCTAAAACTGTAGTCAGAATTTAGATGAAATAAATGGGTAACTTTTTTCAGGAATTTCCAATATTTTTTATTTTTCCTCAATAATTTACCCAAATAAATAAAAGAACCAGGACAACAGGTAGAGGTATTCAGATCAGTAAAAGTTCATTTCTGATGAGGAGTTTGAGAATTAAATGGAACCAAGCGCTCCATTTTTACTCTTTTTTTTTTTTACATGATTTTGGAACCCAACTTAGTCTTCCTTTTTCATAATTAGTCTTCCTTTTTCATAACACAAAATCCAAAAATGTAAATTCAAATCCAAGTCATGAAATATTAAGAAATTCAGCAGGAAAAAAAAACCCAATATTTGTTAAAAATGTGAGAAATAATGGCTGAACATGGAAAAAAAAAAAGTTGTGAAGAGAAAATTATTTTAGTTTGAGATTTGGGCAGGAGAGAGAAGATGTACCTCAGGGTAAGGAGGGAGTGATAGAGGTTTATTAACCTCTTCAGTGGCCATTAAAATTGTTGCAGTGAAAGAGAATAAAATCTGTTTGAATTTGAAGGCCTCAGAGTGTAAAGAGTACCCCACAAGGTAAGCACACACACCACACTCTCAGCTACAGCAGCAGCAGCAAACCTTCTGTTCAAATTTCAGATGGTAAAACTCTAAAACTGTTGGAGATTTCGGCAGAAATTTGCAACTTGCAAGGACTTAAGAGCGAGATTTAAGCCAAAAGGATAAAGTAAAGAATAAAATAATTGTTTCCATGTTGGTTCTTGAATGGACGGCTGGGAGTCATGGGGTGGAGGATGGAACGGTTGAGAGAGTCTGTCATGGGGGATCACACGGATCGTTGACGTGGCAGGTGATGGAACGACTGGTTGGAACTTGGAAGCTTCTAAATACAATTATTTTTGTTAAAACTTTTTTTTTTTTCTTATATACCAATATTCTTCCGACCAAATTTTTTTTTTGGGTAAATCTTTTTTATACAAGCAATATTGGGGGAGAGGGGGTTTTCTCATACACAATGTCAAGGTGCCATTGGCATTCGTTGTCATATTTCCATTCGGGATCCAACTCTGATACCATTCTGTCACGACCCAGCTTCACTAGCAAGATATTATCCGTTTTGGACTAGGACCCTCACGCTTTTGTTTATGAGCTCAAACTTATGCTATTTTGCCAAAAAAAACTCTTGCTAGGAAGTTATATGACACTTTACCTTTTCCTTTCCGAGCGATGTGGAATTGCTCACTGATCTTGCTCATTCTTGCCTTTAGGACTCACAAGTCTTAGACAAGACCTTGTTGGGTTTTTTTTTGGTTGGTAATTTGCTCCGGCTCTCTTATTTATTTCTTCAATAACACAAATTTGAAAATCACTACCCTAAATAGGATGTATAAAGGCAAATAGGTTATAGCTCAAGTGTAAAGGTGTCAAAAGGGTCGTCATGAGCTGGCACAACTCGTTTAAAATCATGCCACTAAGTAATTCTGGTTGTGCCATGACGGCCCATTTAATTAATCGTATCTTGTCTTGTCAACCCATTTACAAAAATTATTGAGCTCAACTTGATTCAAACTCAAGTCCACATTAAAACAAACCATGCTCGGCTCTAGCCCAAACCACAACCCCATTTAACTTTAATTATAATTTTTTTACCCGGAATTTTCTTTCAAGTCTTGTTATTAATATACTTCAATTTTATTTAGACCTCATATTAGGATATTTAGGAGTGAGCTCAATTTACAAATCTCATATTCTATGTACTATACCTGAACTCACTATAAAAAAAAGCCAATATTTTTAGGCTAGTTGACTATTTGCATACTAGTAATTCTTCGAAGTGACGGTCACTTTTTAGAACTTCTATACTAAATTGATCACATATATAATTGTCAATAAGAAGAAAGACCACATAATTAATCATAATAAATGTACAACAACTATCATATCATGTGTTCAAAAACATATGATCTGCTTCGAAGTACCAACAACTATCCTTCCCATTATTATGGAAAGTAGAAGGCTTGCCAACAGTCTCTAGAGTGTCAGATGGAGTTGGATTCCTCAAAGTATCAACAAAGCGGCTCATGCAGCGGCTAGTATTGGCATCAGAGCGGTGGCGCAAGTTTGTTGGGTTGAAAGACCACCACCGTCTCTTCAGGGAGTGTTGGAAGCAGATGGCCTTCTTGGACCACTTGTACTAAGTTAGCCTCTCAATTTCCTTGCTTTGGCTGAGTGTGTGCTGACTTAGTTTATAGGTTCTGTTCGTGGCTCCTTTTAAACCAACTCCAGTTGGAGGGGCTAGCGCGGGAGGCCCCCTAGGCCCCCAATCCCTTTTCTAGTGGCCAAGGCTAGCTAGGGCAAGTGATGGGCTCCACCAAACTGGGCAAGGCCCAAGGCAAGACTTGCCTGGGCAAGATGACTTAATGCTGATGTTATTGTAATGTCAGCAAGCAATTTAAATAACAAAAAATTGAAAAAAAAAACCAAAATTTTCATTTTTTAAAAAATAAATACCTAGCCGTTTCTTCACTTCCCACCCCAAAACTCTATACAATTTCCT